AGTACAAAGTATTGCAACAAGTGAACTTTCTGGGGTGATGGAAGGGTTCTATATCTCGACTAGCGTGATGGTATATTCATCTGTCAAAACTCATCAATCTACACACTTAAAACTTTTATGCAAATTATATCTTAATAAAGCTGATTTTTTGCTGGCCATTTAGCTCACTTGGTTAGAGCATGGTGCTGATAACACCAAGGCTGAGAGTTCAAATCCCAGTACTGACTGTCTAGACACCAAGGGGGAAATTAAAAAGCTGATTTTAAATAAAATCAACCTCTAAATAAAGGCAAGGTAATACAATTGTTAAAAACTTGAGGTCTAAGCCAAAATTTCTAAGTATAAATATTGACGGGCCGGCCTGTGGGTCACTCGGGAGAGTGCAGTGCTAATAACACCAAGCCCACGGGTTCAGATCCCATATAGGGATGGCCAGTTCGCTCACTGGCTGAACATGGTGCTGACAACACCAAGTCTAGGGTTAAGATCCCCTTACCGGTCATCTTTTAAAAAAATAATAATAATAAAATAAATAAAAAATAAATATTGGCACTACCATTATTAATTGTGTGAACTGAGGCAAGTACCTATATAAAACAGTTGTGAAGATTAAACAAGTGATGTAAAACCCTCAGAATAATGCCTGGCAAATAATAGCAATTTATATTTGGGCATTTATTATTAGTTTGAGTATCTGTCCCAAACCAACTGTTATTATAACACATTCATTCTTCACTTTAAAGTGGACTTGGCATTTATGAACTTTGAGTTTCAAGAGCTCCTAAAATAGTCATCTGTAATTTTTACAAAGCCACTTTGTCTCTACCTCTACTAGAGCCAAATCTCCATCCCTGAAATAACACTGAAGACAGAGCATTCCAACGCACCGGACTACCTGCACCTGGATTGTGCTTTCCAATTCTGAATTTGGGGAAGGAGAACACCCACCCCAAATCACACAGACTAGGAAGAAAAACAGAAGCATTCCCAAAGGTTATACCAGAAACAGAATGAACGAAACCAGACTAGTTATTGCAATCCATCCTTCACTCTACATAGAAACAGAGACAAAATTAGTTCGTGAAACTTAACTGTGATAAATGAAAGGACAATTAACTTATACATGAAGATATGAAGGGAAAACATGTTACTCTCAATGAAAACATTATTCGAGAAGGTAGGGACCTATATAAATACAACCTGGCATGTACATGTATGAAGAAAGACAGAGGGCAAAGAACAGGCAAGGTGGAGGACAAAGACAGAAGTGAGACACCATATGTAAAAACAAGAATGTAATAAGCATTTTGTGTAATACACATTTTAACAGCAACAAGAAGACTGGCTAATTCCACTGTCAAAACAGCCTTAACTCCCAAGCAGTAGAAATTTTCTGAGGTTCTAAGATATCTCCTATTTTATTTCACTTTTTAATAGTTTGAAGACATAGCTATAGCAACAAGTAGGTTCCCATAAGGAGTTTACTATTTACTTGTAAATGCATACTTCTGCTGCAACTTGGAGAATAACTGGGACTTGCAGAGGTAGAAGAGATCAATTCAAATAGTTGGAAAAGCTAATGCAGAGGCAGTAGCTATGTTATAGAATAAAACAAAGGAGTCAGAATAAAGGAACCAAGTCATCATCCAAATACAAGCTATACTCATAGTTTAGTTAAATAGACCCCATAAGAAAAATGTGTGAAAAACTGAAGAAACAAAGACTTCCTTTGAATGTTGAAGATTTATTCACAGTCAAGCTAAATACTAATCTCTCCTGAGAATGACCACAGATTCCGCATCTATAAAACACTGTTGGGCTGGCCAGTTACTCAGCTGGTTAGAGCATAGTGCCAACACCACCAAGATCCAGGGTTTGGTCCCTGTACCAGCCACCCGCCAAAACCAAAAAACACTGTTAATTATCTGCAACTTGATAATACTTTCAATTCTTTGTATGAAAGGAATATGAAAATGCAAACTATAAATCCTTAAAATGTTAATCAATTCTGCAATTAAAAATAAACCTACTTTCAAATATGATCTGCAACTTGATAATACTTTCAATTCTTTGTATGAAAGGAATATGAAAATGCAAACTATATATCCTTAAAATGTTAATCAATTCTGCAATTAAAAATAAACCTACTTTCAAATATGATGAGAGGTCAATGTGCATTATTAAAATTAGGTATGTGATTTTATTTAAATCAACTGTTCCCAAGGAGGGGAGAAGGACATGTCCTTACCACCAGGGAAGCTTTTGCAAACTACACTGCCACCCCAACCTCCAATTCTGATATGTCCTCTTGTGACATGGGCAGGCAGGGGAAAGGAGCAGTTAGGGATAAAAATGTTTATCTCATGTGATTAACAAAACAGCTGCTTCCCTCCAATCTATCCCATGTAAGAACCACTAGGCTAAATACATGAACTCAAACTTATGGTTGTGAAATTTTCTAATCACATGCAAAGACAGCACTAAGATGAAAATTGGGAGATTTGAGTTTTAATTTTGTCCCTTAGTTGTCCAATCTAAAAGTTACTTCACTGTGCCTCAATAGGCATATAATTATACTCATGTTATATTAAAATAATTATTTCTATATAACTTCACAGAATTGTTCTAAGGATAAAATGAAATGCAAAGTATAAGCATATCTTTAAAATGTGCTATAGATGAATATGGAATTATCACCATTATTCAAATTTGGGCCTCGTTTACATATAAAAGTGCAGACTAATCTGAACTGGTTCACAGTTTGACCGACAGGCATGCAAGACAAGAGCAATCACACAGAGCCCATAAGAAATGAAAAAGATTCCTTGCACCCTACCTAATCCATATCCTCCTACTCCAATATCTCGGCCAAAATCAAACCTGGCTTGAGAAGCAGAAAACAGACTCTCATTAATTAATTCTTCTGAATATTCAACCTCACCAGGAAAAGAAATAATACCCTAATGACATTCTTAGAAAGTAAAATATTCAGAATTTTTAACTAAAGATTTTCACTGGACACTTCCATGCTAGAATACAAAATAAAACAATAATCTAAATAACATGATCAGGACTCAGAGACTACATTGAAATTTAAAAATTAGGTCAATAAAAATTTTAATAATCTCATTCCTAAAAAAAAAAAATCAGTGCCAGCTTCTCCCCCATCCCTCTCCAATTCTCTACAACATAGCCTACAGTACACTGAAACTCATATGGTGCCTGGTAGACAGTGAATGTCAAATAAGTGTCTGCTGAACGTCTGAACGATTACGTTATTTTTCACATCTTTTACACTATTTTAGTGCACCTATATGGATGCTGGCATGTTAGTTTTCATCTACTGAAAATTGAAATGCAAACGGCGGCTGAAAAAAACCCCTAAATTCTGCAACCCTCCCCCCCACTTCGTTTTATTATCTTCCACCTTATTATGTGGCACTAATGACTGGGTAGAAGTGCAAATACCTCTTAGACCTAACCATAAACTGCTTAAATAATTTATAAATAACAATCACAATTATAGCCCAAACAGTTTCAATGAAAAATGAATTAATTCTAAATCCAGAATTATTTAAGACAAAACCAGAAATATTAAGACAGACATCATTATTTCTCTGCAGGAATTAGAAAATGTTAGTCTAGGGGCCCGCCCGGTGGCGCACTGCTACAGTGCACCGCTTGGGAAGCGCAGCAGCGCTCCCGCTGAGGGTTCGGATCCCACATACAGACCGGCCGCTCACTGGCTGAGCGAGGAGCGGGGGCAACACCGAGGGTTGCGATCCCGTTGCCGGTCCCGGTCCGGTACGGGCGCAACACTGAGGGTTGCGATCCATTGCCCGGCACGAAAAAAGACAAAAAAAAAAGAAAAGAAAAGAAAAGAAAATGTTAGTCTAATCAATAACTTTCCTAATAGTTCCAACTCCTACCCCTATCATATTTAATAACACCAACTCAGACCGTCTTCAAACCCGAAGTGAATCAACTTCCCCCATAATGACTCTGCAAGCCAACTTCTTACATCACTAATATTCTATCAGCAATTTCCTGCAGAGGAAAAGCACAACTCTACTAGTTATTAATCAGCTAAAAGGAATTACTCTCTCATAATCTTACCAATAATATCGAAAACCCAGTGAAAAACCCCAAAACACTCTCAAGCAATACAATCAACTCCACCTTTCACTCAATATGACTAATCCCTCTATGTCAAATACCATGAGTGAATACTATTGTTCAATATGCCACCTATTGACAGAATGTCTATATCTAGCGTTTCTCAAGTCCTAAGTTCCAGTATACTCTGTTATAGCCTATTACAGTTACATCTGACACATAGTAATATGTAATAAATGCGGTTCCCTCTATCAAGACATTCAGTTGAGAAGTGAACAGATTGAAAAGTGGCTTACCCTTTGAAATGAAAGAAGAGAGATACACATATACATGATGGGTACTTACATTAAATGCTACTTCTCCTTAAAACATCCCTACCCATGCTCGGAGCATCATCTATCACACTTCCAATAAGCAAATTCTGACTCGTGTTTCGAGCATCATCTACTATACTTTCAATAAGCAAATTAAGACCAACAGCTCCACCTCTCAGCAGCCAAGGAGGCTTATTCCTCTCTCTTTACAAATTTAATTCACCTCAACAAATACTCCGGACGGACGGGGTGCCTAATTCACCAGAGAGCCAAAAAATTCAAGACCCAACCTTCTTGCTCAACTTTCTCCTTTTATCCACAACCATTTAACCTTCCGTTCCCCCCACCTCCCTTATTATTCTCTCAACTCCCTTCACTTCCTCCTCACTTACCGCTTTATTATCCCCACCGTGCTTCGAGACTCCCACATTCCCACACTCCACCAACCACGAGCTCGAATCCCTCTGCAGACACCACCACAGCCCTAGTAACCCAAGCTCTCGCACAGGCCACCCCCACACTGGACCCCACCAGCCTAAGCAGCGAGGAGGGGCTGCTCTTCAAACCCACCATACGAAGTCGTTGCTTTTGTCCTCGTAGGAGTTGATGAGCCCGTTGCAGAGCGGGGCGAGCAGAGGTCGCTTCCTGCTGCCACTGCCTAGGCTGGAGCTGCTCCCTCCTACGCCGGCGCTGGGCCTGGCAGCGCAGCTGAGCCGGGACAGGCCCGTGGACCCCGCCCCGCCGCTGCTGCCCGACACGGCGGCCGCCACCAACACAGGCCGCACTGGGCCCCCGAGGCCGCCCGAGCCCGCGGCCTG